CTTTAAGGGGAGGAGCCGGCTGAGGCGGGAAATTTGAACAGAGAGACATGCTCTTTCTGATGAGCCCAAGACGATGGCTCCCAGCTGCACCCTCGCGAAGCTATAATTTTTTGAAAATCGATATTTTCTCGCCATTTACAGAAAAACTATCACTACCTAGGAAGGTGAAACTAATTTTTTGGAGCATTTCTGCGCGGTTTTAAGTGTAGATATTTTGGAATCAGATAGAAAAAGGGTTCCAAAAGCTGTAAACTTGATTTTAAAAAATATTTTTTTTTGCCATTTTTCGCGATAACAAAGCCGCGTCCCCCCTTAAAGTCCCTACATTTGCATAGTCCATGACCTCGCAGGCTTAAACAAATGCTTTTAAGAGTCGTTTGACATCATAGTTATGTCCGAAAGTTGGCTTTGCCGCATGCATAAATGGTAAGGGAATGAAGCAGATAAAAAATTCGAAGGGGCCGGTATCACTGCGCAGTGAGGTGATGTCTAACGGATATGTAGCGGAAATGCTCGGAGGCGTGATGGCGGTAATGCGGCAAGCACGCCAGTAAGACTTAGTCGCTTTATAATAAGTATGTTCAGCTAACTGTTTGTGGTGCAGTTATCGGCGTACAGTAAACTTGCCGCCCACGCTGCCTTTCAGTGCGAATCTGCTAATTGCACCATCACGAACGAAAGCAGCTCGCCATTGCCGTGTGCGATCAGGAACGGAGTGGGCATCCAGAACACTTTTTTATGACAAATACGTGCGTATGAAAGCGCCTCAACAGGAACGGTGTCACTTGTGTAGGCGATGTGCTGCACACAACTAGGAATGATCGGCCTCGTGTGGCAGCAAGCGCTACATGTCGCCGGAGATTTTTGTACTGTGGTGCATCTTCTAAGTACACACACGCATCGCGGAAGCCTGCACAAGTATTCCTCTATTCTGCCACATCCTTTATGCTCTGCGCCATCATTTCCACACGCTCCATGCAATAAATCCTCAACTCATTCTCCACTTTGCTGGCACCTACGGTGCTCATAACGCGGCGCATACTTGAAAATAGACGTCGGCAGGCCTTGAATGTTATTACGACAGCCTGGGCGTGCACTGAAATGCCTAATAACTGTACTCTAGGAGGCATTGAAGCTATTTCAGACGGGGCTGTGGTGATTTTGTAGCGTTAGCTACACTGGCCTCGCTGAGCCAATTTCGTGTGGCACTGGTCTACGCATGCGCAATGATACTCCGCTGCGCGCGGCTCGCCGCCGGTGTGCGCGCAATTCGATGCGCTGCGCAGACGATCAGTGGTGTCACGCACCGGAGCCGGCACCTCCCTCGCACTCGGCCGCGGCCGCGCGCGACTCACCACCGCCAGTGTGCGCTTTCTAGAGGAGTGCCGTCATAACCTTGGTAGACATATGGACGCCCACACGCGCGTCTTCCCTGTGCAGTCGCCATCTGACACTGCGCTGGAGCCCCTTGATAGCGCCTCTGACTGGCATTTGCCACTGTGGTATAGCCATAGAGAAGGAGAGTGCAAATGCTGCTCAACGGTGCAGTAGAGCGGAGAAGCTTAACTCATTGGATACCGAAGTAGTTGCCCGGCAAAATATACATGTGCCACATAATAAGTATACCTTGTGTATGTCATTAGAACAGCTGTAAGCATGATATCTAGAAAGCTAAGAATAATCAGCTGAACCTTTGCTAACGCTACGCATATCCTGGCATAGCTGAGCTAAGCCACTGCCATTTTTTTTATTATTTGAGCGGAATAAAAAGTCATCAATCTTTTTTCCGACGATGTCCTAGGAAAGTCTGAAAAATCGGGCATTCGCTGCGTCCCAACTATAGTTCACTATAGTCCCGTATAAACCGGACTATAGGTCGAGATAATATAGGTCGACCCCCAAAGTTCAGGTTACCAAAAAAGAAAAAAAAAAGGAAAACAACACAAAACTGCCGAACCACATTTATTTGCAAATTGGGCGCACGGCACCCCCGATTGTCGGAGCTCCCCTCAACCACCATTGCAACTGCTCCTATTCGTCCCACAAAGCACCACTGTCTTCTGAAGACGAGAGTTAGTCGCTGGCCGCCTCCCACAATGCGTCGCCTTCAGTGCCATCCAGCGAGTTGCTGATGCAACATTTCTTGAAAGCAGTTTCCACCATAGAATCGGACAAGGAACGCCAGGCAGAAAGCACCCAGCCACAAACCGTCGCAAGTGGAGGCCTCTGTAGGCGGCCTCTTGGCATCCACTCTTCGCATTCCAGCCGCATTTGGTCCTTGAACGGCTTGTTTAGCACAATGTCAAGTGGCTGGAGGGTAGACGTCATACCACCTGGTATCACGGCAAGGTCCGTTTTCCCGTCACCGAGTGCGCGTTTGACTGCGTCGGTTAAGTGGCCACAAAACGCATACAACACCAGCATGCTGCAAAGACGCAGCAGTGCACCTAGCCGACGGTTCCACACCACTCGTATCTCTTCGAGCATCATGGCGTCGTCCATGTATCTCTTTTTGTTGACGCGAACGACAACACCGCGCGGAAACACTTCCTTCGGCATTGTCTTGCGCTTGAAAATGATGAAGGGCGGAAGCTTTCTACCATCTGCTGTGCATGCAAGCATGACATTGAAGCGCGAGCGCTCGTTGCTAGTGGACAACAGCTTCACATCCTTGGCGCCGCGCTGTGTGACCGTGGTCGACCAAGGCATGTCAAACCACACAGGGGTCTCATCGGCGTTGCCAATCTGCCCCATCATGTAGTCGTTCTGCTCCCGAAGCCGGTTCATGCAGTGCTGAAAGTTTATGAGTTTGTCCTCGAACTCCTCCAGCAACTTTTAACAGATGGATGTGCGGCGCCGGAGAGAAAATCCTTTGCGTTGCATCTGCACACCGAAGAGTTTGGTGCCCGAAACTCTTCTCCCATGAGCCCAGCCTCTCCAGAGACTTCCACGGCTTTCTTGCGAACGGTATCCACAGTCACAGCCAGCGAGCGCGCACGAACAGCACTTCGTTGACGAAACGACATTTTTCGAGGATTGCACATCTGCAGCTTCCCTTTCTGCCCCTCCAATAGCGCACGCTTTTTTAGAATACACCAAAGCCGCGCTGAGCAGCCATATTCCTGTTCACTTCTGCGAACTCAACAACATCTAGTTTAAACGCAGCTGAGTACTGCCTCCTCGCACCGCTACTCATATTCAGTGAACGAAAAAAAAAAAAACACTAAAAATGCAGCGCAATGTCAAGCGAAGCGAAAACTCAGAACAGATCGGAAGCAAATCACAAACACAAAGAAAACAGACTGAGAAAAAAAACAATAGAGCCTGCGATTGGATTTGGATGCGGATATGGCCACGCCCGGCTTCTCAAGCACATGCAAGTTACATGTTGCCAAACAGCGGCGCACTTTCGGCTAGACACCGCTATATAAGACGAGGGGGGACTTTGGGGCGACTTTAGCTCATTTTTTATTGAAAATATTGTCGCCTTTGCCTCGACTTATATTCCGGTTCATACGGTATAGTTCACTATAGTCCCAAAAGTGACATTTGGCCCAGTTTGGCTTAGCTTGGCTCGTATTGCATCTTACGCAGGTGCACAGCGATGTCGTTTCTCTCATTTTCAACAGGAGAACCTCAAGTAGTTTCGTTTCTTAATGTAGGAGCACGCCTTTTGGCACAGTTTGGCACAATTGGCGCAGCAGTAGTTTCACTGAGCTTAGAGAAGCGCCAGCGACGACATATATTCGTATTTGACAGCTTTATTATAGCGTAAATTCCTTGTGTGAAAAAGAAGATGTGCCTGCAGTGAGCAGCATCGCCAACGCCCGGCTCTCTTAGCTCGCACTTCGGTTCACTGCTCTGCCGGTCTCTGCTGGACGGTTCATCACGCTGTCTTGCCGTTGCCGTTAACGACCAATAAACCTCTTCACAATTGCATTAGCGTGTTTCGCTCAATAAATTATAGCGTAACGCCATTACGAAAATAAAACCAGCACAGGGGCGCCCAGCAAAGTGCTAGACAAGCTGTGCCATCTATGATTGAGTGATCAAAGCTACAAAAGCTGATCGGCTCGATTCTAGTTGCGAGCAGTCAAAGCAACGAAGTTAGAAATGTTTCATGCTCGGTTCAAAGCAATTTAAGCACATTAACACATACGAAACCGGATTATGCTCCGTTATGTCTAATGTAAATGTTTTGGGCACATTCAGACAGGTATTATAGAAATGCAGGGACGTCAAACCAAGCATCAGAATTGAAAACAATCCTGTCTTATCATCCATAGTTATCAACGCATCGAGGACATCCGATGCACATAAGCGAGCAGCATCATTCATTGTGAACCAGTCAGTTCACCAAGACAGCAGGGCAAAACGGTAGGCATGAAGTGGACAGCCATTATTTAAATTCGCGCTTTAACAAGCTTTTATGATCTTGTATCCTTTTCCGTACAAGTTTACACTTCAATTTTCATAAACATTTAAAGAGAAAACAATGTGGTGCAGCCGCGAAACGCATACTTCGGAGCGCAGAGCAGACGCTTCGCCTGCATCGGTCGGTCTGTCTAGCTGCTGCCTACGTCATTTCCGGTCAGCTGTAGTGGCGTTGTTTTTTCATGTTTCTGTATCGAAAATTGTGTTGTTGTGTTTTTTTTTCTTAGGTAACCACTTGCATTTTGAAAATGAAATTTGGAAGGCAGCACTGCTTATGTATCAGCTTTTTGAGGTGTGCACAATTTCGTTGCAGTTGGCCTTAAAGAAACTGAAGACCTCAAAACGAAGCACCCTAAATGTAAATTAATCAGTTATGAACTGACACAGCACAGCCACAAACTGCAGTGCTCCCTCTCGAACGACAGAACTTCAGTTTCAGACCATTCAAACTGAGCAGTGATGTCAGGCCTTTTCGGTGGCAAACTTGGTGATTGACATTTTCTTTAGTATTGGTCTCAAATGCACTATTGCAATGTTCAACAACACAACATTAGACAGCCTGGTACCTGAAGGAGCTTGAGCAGCTGATAAGCCATGAGCTCCTGCCGCAGGTCATCCCCGCACTTGACAATGGCGGCCCTCAGCTGCCAGCCGGGCAGATGGCTGTACGGGGAGGATTCACGAACGCGCTGCACCTTCTCCTCCCAGGGCTCCTTGAGAGCGGCGGCCGACGGGTCCTCGGGATCTCGCTGCAGAGAGCATCTTTTGTTCAGCCCACGTCCAATGAAGGAAGCTTGTCGGCACACAGCTCCACACAACACAAATGCTGATTGAAGAAAGTTCACAGTGATGAATATTCGAAAGCTTTCGATATTATTACATTTGTAATATTCATATTCAATTCGATAACCACAGATTTGAAATTTTCAAATATTCGCACTAATTCTTATATTCATCGAATATTTATGAATACTCGTTCGCATATGTCACTGTAAAACACGATTTTGCACATTTGCGATAAGGGCCTCAGTAAATCATGCAGTGATTACTACAACTTTGGCGCAAGTAAGGTGGTGCTTGAATAGAAATTCACGGGAGCGTGCTGACGGCTACAAATGAATGCGGCGGCACGTCATCCTGACAAATCTACAAACGTCTCAATCAATCTAAATAATGGGAAACGATTAGAACTCCAACCAAAAAGTACGTGAAAATGCGTAAATTCGACGTTTCAGAACCGACTTGGTTCCTTTTCAGGGCGGATGGGGCTTTGTTGCAGCAGCATCTTCAAGGCACTTGCGAGGAGGTTAATGATCCCCCATCTCCCGTTTTGCCGCAGAAGTAGTCCGTGTGACACACCGGGGTAAGGGTTCCGAGAGAACGGCTGATGTTTCGGGCCGTTCGCTGTATATGCCATGACTCGAGTAGTAACAATATCTACCAGTTAATCTCGCTTTCAAGGACGGTCATTGCGTCGAAAATTATCTGGCGCTCAAACCTCTCAGAATGCTCGGCCACGGCGCTGCGCTTTTTGTAGAGCTTCCAGACGTTGTTGGCGTGTTGTTTGAGTCGTTCCGGTAGGTTTTTTGACTTGTCGATATACGAAGACGGGTGCTCGGCGCATGGGATTTTGTAAACACCGAGGTCCCGTCCACTGTTGGCCGATCTTTCGGGCGGGGGAGGAGGTGGCTCAGCGTACATACAGGTACATCCGTGATGCGAACCCCTTCTTTCTTGAAGACCCGCGCCAACATCTCGCTGGTTCCCCGGACGTATGGGACGGGTACACGTTTCGGAGGGCTGCCAATCAATGCTGATTGGGATTTTCGTATCTTCTGTTGCTCTGCGCGGCGTGTGACGGCTAGTATGAAATTTTTTGGGCATTCATTTTTTCTGAGGTCTGCAATTACGCGGGCCTCTTCTTTTTTTCGCTCCATGTCATTGGAGCAAATTTTCTTGGCTCTCTGGAGTGGTCACAACCGAGGCCTTGTGGCAAGTCGAATAAGATGAATCATATTGAAGGTAACGGCCGGTGTGCATTGGCTTCCTCTGAACGAAAAACTCCGAGTTTTTCGTTCGCAACAGGCGTATACATTACAGAGCGTGGTGCTGATAGAGTGAGCTTAGTAGGCGATGCACTGCATGCAACCAGGTAGGGACGCGCTCAGCTTACGCACGATGGTAACGCATTTAATGTATAGCCACGCCAGATTTCGCTAATGGATCACTGTAGAAACGTACGTGCACATGTCGTTCGTCAGCTGTGCCGCTACTTCAGCATGTATACTCTCTTCATAGTTCCGAAATGATTTCATGGTAGCGGATATGGTCATGCGAATGAGCTGAAGTGTTTTACCGCCCAATAGCAAACAAAGAAAAGGCCATGCACTTTCAGTAACGCTAAAATAGCGTCATCACATATAGTTCTTCGTTGCTAACGGCAGTGCCTGTAATGCGAAGGATGGATTAATGCGTAGTTCCGCTGTGTTCCCGACAGTGCTTTTGAAAATTTGTCGTACGCGCATTGCGCGGTGACATCTCTAGCAATCAACCCTCTGTTGTACCATTGCTGCAATCTCTATCTTTTGCCAACGTTGTGGGGGTCTCGGCGAGGCGAACGCGCGCATCGCCACGCCACGCTCTTGGAGTGAACGGACACAGTGGACACGGTTGGTACAAAGCACACAACATACATACATTTATTAACTAATTTAGACGACGATATCGTCCGCCGAATGATACAACAATTTCAATTAACACTAAACCATACAAACAACATAATGCAGGGACGCACTAAACACACAATAACATGATAAACACACACTAACACACTCAACACACTAGCACATACCCAAGACGGCGTCGCCAACGCCTGACTTTCCACGTGGGACCCCGGCGCGAAGCCCGCGGTGCCGAGCACCGGGGACCCGCGCTACAGACAACCGTTCGCGGCAGCCGCCACGCGCAGAAGAGACCCGCTCAACGCTCGCCCACCGCCAAGGCCTGCCTTCCGCCAGGGGCCACCGCCGGCGCTACCACTCTACCAACAGTGGTACTGAAAGCAAACACAACGCCATCTATCGCCCGGCGGTGGTCACCACCGCAATAAAGCCTTGGGGCGAGACACGTGCGCCACGCGGCGCAGACAACTTTACAGGGGGGGGGGGGGGGGGTGTCAGCACCCCCACAACGTCAGTTTACTGCTGTCGGCAGCCAGTGCACTGAAGGAGGTTGCGATACGGTATAGTGCCTTCACCAACGGGAGTAGTGGCTCCGTTGACAGAAAGGTGTATTTGGGGCGTCTTTCCATTACACATTGGTTTTCATCTATCTCATGCGCTCACCTTGCGTTATTGCTGCATGCCCGGTACACTTTGGTAACGATTGTGCTACTATCAGCGCATCACAGCATCCTTGATTAGAAAATGGCGAGCCCGTAGTCCTTGAGATAGGCAATGAAAAGCAAGCAAGATAACGAGTACTGCTGTGTACGCTCTGAAAAAATATCGAGTAAAAAGGGTGTATTTTTGTCCCAACACAATAATCGACATCAGGCATGCGTGCGCTTCCTTTCTTGAAAACTCGGCGCTGGCCACTTTCCTATCGAGAATTCAATGTAACCCTGATAACGGGCATGTCGATCGTGACAGAAATGTACCGGGTGCGGGGCGATAGCGCAAGGATAGAACACAATATAGATGACGATTATTGTTGTGGGACAAAAAGACACCCTTTTTACTCACTCTTTTTTTAGAGTGTAGTTGAAAAACGCTCGAAGTACACCTTTTTCTTTAATAGCTTGACCGTTGAGAACAGGCGCAAAAATAAAAAACTATAAAATTGGGGTTTTTCGAGCGAAAACTGATAGTGTGGGTCCACCTAAGCTGCCTTAATAATCGCTTAGACTTAAGGGGAGATGCTACTCGAAGACACTTTTTTTTTAATATTCTCCTTAGAGTAATGAAACTTGAGCTGTTCATGCCGATTTCAAATATATAATTAGTTTTCTTGACAGTTGCATACTTTTAGCTCTGGAAAATGACAAAGTGAAAACCTTAACCCTTTGCCCCCCCCCCCCTCTTTTCATCCCTGAACTTCCCTAATTTTTTACCATTCATAGTTCATAATGTTTGAAATAAAGTGTACAATGCAAATAACTAATTAGGAAGCACATACAAAATATGTAATAGGCGGGAAAAATAATAGACATAAAAAGTCCATATTTCACCTACCCTAGTAAAGGTTTACATACATTTTTTTGCTATACAATAAAATATTGATATTTAAACTAGATAATTGCATTTGTCATACTTTGTGAAAAAATTGGGCAAAATTTCATGCAGATCCGATCACTAGAAGTGCCCGAAAAAAGAGGAGCACATTGAAAAAAATCACAAAATTTGTGTTTTGTTTTAAAGTTAAAATTGAGTTTTTACTTATGAAAGATATCATTAAATCTGATGAAAGTTGACAACCAAAAAGAACAATCCTTCTTGTGGCCACTGCCACTAAAATATGCCAGCACCATAAGTTTGTCCCTCTCGTCTTTTTCGAGCCGAATCCTCACAGACATTTCGCTCACAGAGAGGGCCATGAAACACTTGCCAAACTTCCCCTCCATCTTGCAGAGCCATGTGCCAACTGCAAGTTAGGAAGAAGTTCGAAAGGACTACGAAATCCAAACCAAGTCCAGTGTCATGCCATTTTGTGGCCATGTTTGTGCCACATACCGTCGTACATAATGGCAATGTCGTTCCCGCTAAGTTCCCTCACTGCTAGCTCCTTCGACCTCGCAAGATTGGTGCTGTCATCCATTGCAGCTTCACGAACTTTCCGGTTGACAGGTGTGAATGACTTTCGATGCATTGGCATTTACGAGCCAACAACTGCCACAAATCGGACTAGCTGCTCGTAGCCTATTCCTACAGAGCGCGCCGCACAACGGTTTTCACTTGCGAGCAATGGCTTTTTTCATTCATAACGGAGATAATTACACGAGAAAAGCATTGTTTAGCTGCCCTGCTCGACAAGACATGGAACCCGCAAATAGGCTTCACAGCACATACAGGCGCGCAGCAGCCAATGGCGGTCCCCCGATCCGTACCGCGTGATAAGCCAGTCGCGGCGCTCGAAAACCGCGCAGAAGCGTGCTTCTTTCCATTACTTCTAGCACTGCATCAGCAAGAGAAACTGTTGTTATTTGAAGAGTGAGGCTCGACTCTTCGGCTTATGCGATCAACAATGGCGAGCGGTGGCGCATTACCGGCGGCAAGGTGCTCGAAGACTGCACACTTGTGACCTTTTAACAGGCACCTTCTGCTCTTTAGATGCAATTTTAAAGCATTTCCGGTTAAGTCTCAACCTGTTTTTTTTTTTTTTCATAACAGTAGAGGTATTAATCTTATCAAAACAGGCAAAAATAAAAATCAGTAGTTTTGAAAAAAACTAGTTTTTCGACCCGCATCTCCCCTTAAGTACACGGGTGTTAATTGTTAAACAATCAAACCAGTGGCCTTATGCTCACTTGTCATCACAGCAGGTACGAAAGTTTTTTTTTATGATAAAGAAGATAGAGAAGGTTTGTTCAACATGTGTATCGAATCCAAGACATTACAGTCACAAGCTCAACTATTACGGTCTTATGCTTTCTGGCAAGTATAGATGGTGACATACTTTGTTTTTGTGTGCAATAACCGAATATAATAACAATTGTACTGTTTCCAACATAAATATATGATTGAGTACAAGA